AGGGCTGAGAGGAAGAATGGGGACTCAAAACACAATACCTTGCTGCCACAAAATTACGGTTTCAAGCCCTCACAGTCCTCTCACAAATAACTCTTGCCCAAGACTCGTAACAGCCCAAACTCAGGGAATTTCAAACCCTTACCAAACGGCAAGGGCTGTTCGAAAGGAAATTGGTGCCCATGAGCCTTCCCCTTCACTACGCCTGCCGAACAGCACCTCTATGGATCCAAGAATCCCTCGACCTCCTTTCACCAACGTTCCCCAGCTGCCACGGAGGCCAGACTTGCTCCTGCCATTCAGCAGCCTTGCAAAAAACACCCAAACCCTTGCTTACAGAAGCTGTGTAGTGCTGGAGTCAAGCCGAGACTAATTGCAAACCCCAACTCAAAACTGCCGAACGGCAAGAGACATGAAGGGTTCTTTATACTATTCTCACCAATCCCAAACTCCAACTTCCACGTTGCCATAACCTAGTGGAAGGTTCAAGCCGCAACCTCTCCAACCCTGTTGAAGACATTATCCAAGCCCAAGTGTTGCTCAGTCAAAACCCATGACCTAGGCCCCTCCTAGCACACCCCAGGTGACTGAATGACAAGCCCACGCATCAACCTGGCCTGCTTGCTAAACGGCAGGCACTGGGCTGACACAAATAGAGACCTATGAGTCTTCCCCTTCAACAACAACAACAACAACAACAACAAATGGATCTCGCTTCAGGACCCTTACAGCCTAGCCTCTTTGTCGAAGGCCTAACCCTTGCCCAAACCTTAGGCTCACCAAGGAACCCCGCCCAAGGCCTTAGCCCGATGATCTTGAACCTGTGCCGAACGGCAAGGGTCATGCCTCATATTCCAAGGGCTCACATACACTTCTTGCTCCCCAAGACACTTGCTAAAGCCCCATGACCTAGGACAACTTTTCTTTCAAAGGTACCCAGCTACCGAGTATCCCAGAGGCTAACACAGCTTTTATCATATCTACCAAGTATTAACGCAACTTCTAACTTGCCAACTTAGGGGACTAGGGACTGCCCTACGGCTCCCACTGAACCTGGAATGCTCGATCACGATTACACAAAAAACTCACAAAGTTCCCAACCCAGAAGTTTCTTCTTGACAGCGATCTTGGGGGACTACTGTTTACACCATAATCAACCGAGCATATCCAGCCTCAAAGCGACTAGCACCAGAGGCAGACACGCATTCTCCCCTGCCAAAGGAAGACACTCTTCCGAGGTGCCAAGCACCTGCCGAAACTTCCGACTGCTGAAGGTCCCAATTGCTAAACCTAATCTCCATGACACGTGTCACCGCAGCAACTTGTACAAAGTCCCACATCGGAAATCTACATAAACCTCCCATTTTCACTTCTCTGTAAATAGGAAACAGTATCCTAGTAAAAAGGGTAACTACTTTCTTACCTTTTACTATTACTCTGCTAAAGTTACCCCTCTTAACTGACTTAAGCATCGGAGAGCCTTCGGCCGGCACCACACCGGTGTCCGAAGCTTAACGACTGCTTCTCCTATTTTGTCTTCTGCAGGCTAGCCTTTATTGAAGGTCCAGACCCTTTCCCTGCTGAAGGTAAATCTCCTTTTCTCTAAGTTGACCCTCTCCGAAAAAGGGCATCAACACTTATTATTATACATATTGACTTCACCTAAATATAGAAACAAAAACAAAACACCTTTAGCTAGTTAGACCAGAAGATATCTGATATCTTTCTACAATGAAGAATTTTGTACACAAGTGAATGACACTTTCCAAGTTCAACTTCCCTTTTCTTCTTCGAGAAAAAAAAAAGTACAGTGCAGAGAGAGATAAGAAAAGCAGAAGAAGAAGAGGGAGAGATGGAGTTCTTGAGCAGTTTCCTTTATCTCATCCTCACCTGGACATTGATCCAAACCATCCTCTATTCAATTTCAAGAAGTAAAAAGAGCTCAAGCCCAAAGCTTCCACCAGGACCAAAACCATTTCCATTGATTGGAAACCTGCTTCAACTTGGTGACAAGCCCCACAAGTCCCTTGCCGAACTTGCCAAAAAACATGGCCCTCTTATGAGCCTAAAACTAGGCAACGTAACAGCATTGTTGTTTCTTCAGCAGCCATGGCCAAAGAAGTCCTCCAAACCCATGACCAGTTCTTATCCAACCGAACAATCCCCGATTCGATTCGAGCTCATGATCACCACACTGTTGGCCTACCATGGATTCTAGTTTCAACCCTGTGGAGAAACCTTAGGAAAATATGCATCACCGAACTGTTTGCCAATAAAATGCTTGATTCTAACCAAAATCTCAGGCGCAAGAAAGTGCAGGAGCTCATCGGACAAGTCCACAAAAGCAGCCAAGCTAATGAAGCAGTGGATATTAGGAGGGCAGCCTTCACAACAACACTGAATTTGTTGTCTAACACAATTTTTTCCATTAATTTGGCAAACCCAAGTTCTGAAATGGCCAGGGAGTTCCAGGAGATGGTGTGTAATATTATGATGGAGGCTGGGAAGCCAAATTTGGGGGACTATTTTCCTGTGCTTAGGAAGATTGATCTCCATGGCAGAAGGCAGAGGATGACAGGGTACTTTGGGAAGATTTTGGATCTGCTTGACAACATAGTCAACCAAAGGTTGAAGCTGAGAGAATTGCTTGGTTCTACAACAAAATATGATTTGTTAGATACCCTTGTCAACATTATTGAGGAAAACAGTGAGGTGATCAACAAAAATGAGATCTATCATCTGTTACTAGTCAGTGCCATAATCTTCTTCAAACTGTTTGATATTTTTAGTTTTTTGTTTCTTCTGGTATAAACAATGCTTTGCCCATTAATAAATTCCAAGCACACACAAGTACAGATAAGTGAAAGTGGTACAGCATATTCAAAAATGCAAATTACTTACTGTCTCAATCACTTTGAGACTTTCAATTGCTTAAGATTTTAATGGTTATGTTTGCTGATAAGTTCTATTTGTTGCTGGATCAGACACAACTTCATCCGCATTCCAATGGGCAATGGCAGAGCTATTGCACAACCCTGAGGCTCTGTCAAAGGCCCGACTAGAGCTTGAACAAGTAATTGGCAAAGGCAACCCAGTTGAGGAATCAGCCATTGCTAGACTACCTTACCTGCAAGCCATAGTCAAAAAGACCTTCAGGTTGCACCCTGCAGTTCCTTTGTTACTTCCCCGAAAGGCGGGAGCAGATGTAGAAATCGAAGGATTCACAGTCACAAGTGCTTGTTAACACATGGGCTATTGGCAGAGACCCCGGCCTTTGGGATGAACCAAATTCATTCAAGCCAGAGAGGTTCTTGGGGTCAGAAATTGATGTTAAAGGCCGGAACTTTGAGCTTATACCGTTCTTAGCTGGACGAAGTGTATGTCCTGGATTGCCATTGGCAATGAGAATGCTGCACTTAATGTTGGGTTCTCTTATCCATTCCTTTGATTGGAAGCTTGAAGATGGGGTCACACCAGAGAATATGAACATGGATGATAAGTTTGGCATCACCTTAAAGCAGTTCCACCGAGTCCCCCTTGCCTCGGGCTAGGGGAATTTTTGGCAAAAATTGGTTTCCAACGGTGAGCCCAAGCAAGAGCTGGAGTGGGTCCCATGCAACTCGGGCTGGCCTGAAGGCTAGTTCAGCCCGAGGTCCAAAACTCAGGCTGGTGCTGACGTCAGCCCACTGATTTGATTTTTTTTTTTCATGTTGCCACGTGGCGTCGTCTGGGCTCTCCAATCTGATGTTTTCCTCCAATCCAACAGCAGCCAATTTTTTTGCAATAAAATACTAGAAAAAATTCAAAAAAGAAAATTTTAAATACCCAAAAATTAATGAATTTTTTTCTATAAATACCAGCCAATTTTTTTAAAAATTTATCTGAAATTTGAAATTGAACATTTTATCCGATTATGAGATATGAATAGTATTGACACGTAGGAACCCGAAAATCTTATCCGAAAATATTATCCAAATTAATTATTGAGGTAAAAAAAGTTGTGAAAAAAATTAAAAAATGAATAGTAATTGCCCTTTGCCATGAAAACGGGTGGAAACGAAAAATATTATTTGCAAGGGCAACTACTATTCACGTGAATAGTGGCTGCCCTAGCTCCCCTCTTGCCATGGCTAAGGGCAAATGGGTGAAGTTGCTCTTAGAGATTACCCAATCCTTGCGAGCTGTCCCTCTTTGTAAATTGTAAACCTCATGTTTGCATTAGTATTTCATGAAATGTTATTGCTCTATCGGCTTAATAATATTAATAAATAAATAATTCTCTTTTTCTTTTCTTTTTTTATAAGTAATTCATAACAACTGTTGCTATAAGTCGTGACTTTAACCAAAAGCTAAAAGCCACAACCCCACAGTTTACTTGTTTAGGCAAGATTTCATTCTGCTGGAAGTCACCACCATTCACAGAGTATTCACTTATATTAAATACATGATTAGAAATGGCCGGCTTCTTAGCAAGGGAAGGCTCTTTTTGTTGTACAGCCAAATCATTCAAACCGATAAACTCAGATGGAAAATACAATTTTCAAAGGGCAAATCTGAATTTGTTTAAAGACACTCCAACAAGCTAGCACCATTGGATTGATGAGAAACAACTACGGTTGCAATTATTAGTTAGTAGAACAAGAAATGTTGGGTTTTCTCTGTGTCTGGAAAATGCAACTATGAAATGAAATGCAATGCAAAATTCCCACACTATTTCTTCAGGCCAAAACTTATCATACCCCTTTATGCAATCACACCGGAATATAGCACCATTTCAAGGACAAAAAACTTGGGTAGGAGTGCCCTGCCACGTTGCAGGTATCGTCCAGTTAAAACATTTCAGGTGTAAAGAACATGAATCATTAAAAAAAAAAAAAAAACAAATAACATATGACATGTTACTAGAGAATTACTGGAAAACTGCTTCCACTTGAATATAAGAGCTAAATGCAGTCTGCTTCAGTAAACTTTTTCTTTTATTCAGATAAATAGAGGAGGTTCGTTGCAAGTAAAAAAGAAATACAGATTGATAGTAAAATGCTATAAGATAGATATTGAGGGTGACAAAACCAACTAGACTAGTACAAGAGATAAAGGGAACTTTCCATGGTTCCATCAGGTTCTAGCAATTCCTTCATTCTAATGGTAATTTGATGGCTATTGGACTCCTAACTGAATATTGATCAGAAACCCATGTCAGAGATCCCTCAGCATACTGAACAACTAGTGGAGTTTTATCTGATGTTCAGGCCTGCAGCAGAACTCAAATGGGATGCAGGAAGAACATGGGGGTCAGTGTAGGTAGTAAAGCCTTTCTGTTCTTGGTTCACAAGAAGCATGGCGGCTCCACCTGCAGCTTTCACTACTTTTCCTTGATCGAGTCTACTTACTTCCATACCTCTCTCACAGAAAACTGCTTTTCCTTTCACATTAATATCTTTCAGTGACCCATTGTTACAGTTTTGAGAAAGCATTTGACCATTAATGCCGGGTTGAACCAAAGGAAACAATTTGGAGTTTAACCGTTTAGTAGAATTAGGCGGAAAAATTGACTCCCCATCAAATTCATCCCCATTTCCAAGTCTAGCTGTTGCTATTATGTTTCTATCAATGGTGCTTGCTCCTACAGTGAGAATCCAAGGAGCAGCATTATATGCACTATTGGAGGATGGGCCAGAATTCCCAGCCGAACAAACCACAAAAATTCCTCTTTGCATTGCACTGAAAGCAGCCAATGCAATACTGTCTTCAAACAGTTGACCGACATTTAGAGAGGTCATGGAGATGGAAATCACATCGACACCATCCTCGACGGCAGCATCAAATCCTGCAAGGACATCAGTACTCGAACATTCATCAAGAGAGCAGACCTGGTAAATTGCAAAGTGAGCATGAGGCGCTACGCCAGAAGCAGTGCCATTGGCATTGTTATATAGATTGGCACCTCTCACAAAATTCCCAGCAGCCGTGCTAGCAGTATGAGTGCCATGGCCTATCTCATCAACTGGTTGAGCACTAAAACTATGTAAAAGGTTGTCATAGACTTGGAAACTTCTTGCACCAATGATCTTCTTGTTGCAGACGAATGTGCGATTAGCTGTCTGCTTGAAGTCACACCTGCCTTTCCATCTATCTGGTGGAGGAGACATTCCTTCGTCCCGAAAGGAAGGATGATCTGGTAACACGCCGGTGTCCATAACACCAATAATTACACCCTTGTCGAAATTTGATTTTTTCCAGAACCCCTTCTCCGGGTGCAAGCCCATAGAAAGAACCTCTTCTTTCTTCTCCATGGCTTTCACTTCCTCTCCTGTCAGTCTTGCTGCAAACCCAGTAACCACATGCCGGTATGAGTAAAGCAACCGTTGCTGCTGGTGCTCGGTGCTTGCAGTGGTGACAGGCAAAAGTGACTGATACCACCTGTGCAAACTTTCTGATTGCATAGAATGCAGACCCTCTGGCTTGTGGACATAAACAATGTATGTCTGGAGGTTGTTTTGGCTCAGTGAAGCAACTTCTCCTTCTTGAGCTAAAGAGACATGAAACATGAAAGCTATGGTAAAAAGCAATATGAACTTCCTAATTGGCAACACTCCACACATATTGTTCTTCTTTTCACTCAGTGTTGGTTGAAGGTTTGAAGAATTACCATTTCAAACCTCATGGCTGTATAAAATAGAAAGGGCTTTCATTGTCTGCAGTTTGGACTTGTAAAACAGGCTGGCAAGGTTTATATTGTTTAAAGTTGAATGAATAAAGTTTTCATGCTTCAAGAGACAGGCTTTGGGATTATTAATTGTAGATGAATGGTTTATTTGTCGATTTGTTTCGGCATGTAGTTTATTTATTGATTTCGGTCCATGGATTAATATGGCCTGCTTAATCACAGTTTTAGTTTATTCATTAGTTTTCTATTTCTTAAAAATACTGCATTCTCTTCACATACCCCTTCAAATGCTCAAATATATTACAGTGGTTTCTATGGGACCATACCTTCTGCTCTTCTAAGGAACAATACCTTTTCATTTCTCCCAAGGCTTAAGGTCAAATCCTTGCCAATTCATTGAAGGAAGTTCTTATGAGAGTGATGGTTTTTGCCAAAAGCACTATGCAAAACTTATAGTAATTAGCTCATAGAAGGGGACTTGAGAACAATCATAGCAATGAAAAATCATGGTAGAATAGCAGAATTGGTGGTTTTTAATAAACTAATCCTCAGAAAAATCAAAAAATAATAATAATAAAATTGTTTTGGCCAAATCTTCACTCTGAGAGGAACAAACTTAAAATTTTGCTTGAAGGGTTGATCACTAACTTGAACCACTTGTGCATCATGCTCCCTATTAATAAGCACCCCAAAGGAAAGAAGCTCAAACATATAAATTTGGAAAAGCAAGAAACCCCATCAAAATTAAAATCTGAATCAACATGAAGGCAATATAAAAAAAATATTCAGAAAGAACATTGCACCTTACAATTTCTGGAAACACTGTCCCCCCCCCCCCCAAAAACCAACCGCAGCAATCTTGTGCCTTTGCCCTAGATGCTTCAAGTAAATAATAATCATTGGAAAATAGTTACCCAAGAGAGGAAAATGCTGGAATTGCCACTGACTCAGAGTAGAGTAGTAATTAACAAAAGAGTACAATACAATGAAACCCAGAAAAAGGTTTTCTCGTTCAGGCGGTCCGGTAAATTATTTGGTATTATTAAAATAATTGTGATAACCTTAGCAACAAGGTTTCGTGGTGTAGTTGGTTATCACGTCAGTCTAACACACTGAAGGTCTCCGGTTCGAACCCGGGCGAAGCCATCGTACAATTTATTTTTAAATTTTTGTCCATTTTGCAATTAAAGTGGCATTCTCACGTTGGAGTCTAGATTTTTTTTTAAATGCAAATATGTGAGATGCATATCACATGCCAAGTGTCACTTAAATTGGGAAAATAATGAAGAGAAACTTTTGGGAAATCTAAAATTTGTTCAACTTCTGGGAAGCCAATAGTGGCTCTTATTTAGCCCTCCAAATTTGTTCAAATATGGCCCTCTAAATTTAGCCAAAATTTTATTTAGCCCACAGCTGAAGATGAGTTTTGCATTAATTTAAGGCTATATTTGGAATATAGCCCATGACTGGAAATGGCCTTAACACAAGAGTCTCATTCTCTATTTCGCATGCTTTTTACCTTCCAACCATTGCAAAGTCAAATATAAGCGATTTTACATTAGCCATAGCCTATTACAACATTCAGTGGCGAAGTTAGAATTTCATATGTGTGGGGGCCTTTTATAAATTATAAAGAATCAAAAATTCAAACTCACAATACATACGAAAAATAGTGTGTATATATATCACATATGTCAAGAATTATATTACTTATTAGTTGCAATCATAATTGTTCTCAACAAAGGAATAGACAAATCCGTTCTAAGCAAGAAAATTTGCAAGAGATATACAAAAAGTAGAGATTTAGCAAATATCTTTAAAGCTTTTTTCCCCATTAAACCCAATAGAAAGAAAAAAAAAATCAAAATTTCACAAATTTTTTTTAAAAAAAAACTTAGGTCCCTTCATGCACTCATATTATACATGAAAAAATATTTTATGTAAAAATATTGACTAAGTATGAAAAATGATTTTTCGGAATAATCATTTTCTCAAGATAATTTTTGGCGACTTTTATTCATTACACATCAAATAAAAAAACTTGATTTTATGGGATTTTAGTATGAAGTATACATTGACTTAATGAGCCATCATTTTTAGCCTAATTGTATTTTACACTAAAATCAATTTTTCATATTTTGATTTGGTGGGAATTTGATTTTTTAGTATTTTTATTTGAATCCAAATAGGGTTGTAAACTTAAGTAAATGGAGTAATATAAAAATAAATTAAAGTAAAAAGACAGAGACATTTACTTAAATGTTGAAAATGAAAATAAAATAATCTGTATACCTAGAGTGCCTTAATATGGAGAAAAACTTTCCTAGCACGGGATGCCAGGTAAGTAATCCACCTAAGTATCCTGACCCAATGAGCTTTTGACAGCTGTCAGCAAATAAAACTTGAGTTTAAAAAAAAAGAAAAAGAAATTGAAGCCTGTTGCTCCTCCATCCTCCGCCTACTCTGCAACTTCACCTTAACACTCACCTAAAAAAAAATCGACAGACAAACATCTAAGTCTTCTCTTCCAGACCGCTGCTCCGCTCCACATCCACCAACGTCGTTGACAAAGTCCACACCGCCATCATTCATACTCTGCGTCCCTATCCCTCCTTCATGCTCCATCGTTGTTGGCTTCGTCTCCCTCTTCTCGTCGGCTCTCTCATCCTCACCTCTCTCTCTCTCTCTCTCTCAGGCCAACAACAGTGAACGAGACGACCTTGCTAGCCTCCAAATTTGAGGTGGCTGACTTCAGATTTATAGGCCAATATCTCCCTCTCTTTCTATCAACCTCTGATTTGGCTGATGCAAATAGAGAGAAAGAGAGGGAGGGAGGAAAAAAGAGAGAGAAAAAGATAGGGAGGGATGAGTGAGAAAAAGATAGGGAGGGATGAGTGAGAAAAAGAGGGAGTTTGATTTCAGGAAAAAAACAAAAAAAGGGTTTGAGTTGCAGAGTACGCGGAGGATGAAGGAGCAAGAGGCGAAAAATTTTTTTTTTCCCCAATTTTTTGTAGGTTACAACTGCCAAGAGCTCATTGAATGGGGATACTGAGGTGGATTTCTTACCTGACATCCCCGTGCCAGGAAAGTTTTTCTTCTTAATAGGTCTGCCACAACACATCAAAACATAAAGTATTTGAAATAATATACATATAAAAATACATAACAATATATTACTTTTTAAAATATAAATAAAATAAAATAAAAAAACTTGAGTGGGAGCCTAGGACCACACTGATCCCAGTGTGGCTCTGCCCTTGACAACATCCACTTATTTTACAACAATTTCCGTAATTTTTCCATGAGATGTGACTTGGGTTTTGTTGACCCAAACGGGTGGCTTTCTATTTAAGCACTAGAGGTATTGATTTTAAGTTATTTGGGCCCTTCAATGGGCTGAAGTATATTTTGTATGGTTTTATTATCGGCATGCCATTGTCAGTACTAAAAAGTCTAATCGGAAGTGTATGACTCAAACAAAATCAAAGCGAATATCTTGCGCGTTAAAGTTAACTTCTCTCAAGTTATTATCCTCCAAGTAGGAAACTGGTTTGCATTAATGGCATGTATATTAATCCGTAATTGGATATGAGGAATTGAAGTGAGGAGGAGTTGAATTGAGGATAATTAGATTCCAAATTCCTATTGAAGTTGTTTACGAAACCATATGGATTGAGGAGAGTTAGATTCCGAATTTCTATTGAAGTTGTTTATTAAACTATATGGAATTAGGGTAGGAGTGATACTAATTACTAAAATGTCCTCGTTGTTGGGTTAAAGTAGATAACAAATTTAGAAATTTGAAAATTGTGTGAGAATGTAATGCGTAAAAAAATTGAATTCCTAATGGGTTAGTTCTCTAGGAATTAGAATACCACATCCCACCAAAAAAATTTTATTCCTCTAAAATCAAGAATTCAATTCTTAATTTTGTATGGGCCCCACTTACTTTTCAATTCATTGATGTGAAGTAAACGTAGGAATCCTCCATGGGTGGAATTCAATTCCTGATGAGAATTCCAATTCCTGATTATTAAATACACCATAATTCTTTTCAATGCCTGGTTAATTAAGGATTCCAATATTCCACGATGTGATGTAAGAACTCAAAGAACACAGTGTTGAAATCGTAATTGGACTAAATAAATTAATGATGATAGAAATGAGGCCGAATGGACATTACAAACTAAAGAAAGTGAAAACAAGTCCGATCGGACTGAAATACAAGTAAAAGAAAGGTAATTGGACTGAAATAACTTCAATTTGGACTAACTAGAATGAAAACACAATGAAGACAAGTAGAAGAAAGGTAATTGGATTGACATAACTTCAATTGTACTGACTAGAATGAAAACACAATGAATCTTAAACAGTCATAGTTGGAAATGATCGTCAACTGAAAATCATACCAAATAAAGAAGAAACCAGAGCAAATAAACAAAGGATTTCATAAGAGTTTTTGACTGGAAACCAAAGAGTGAAAGCAGGAAGATTGTTTGAGAAGCTTGAGACCAAGTTGATCATGTCTAAAATTTATTTAGAGATTTTCCATGTTTACGTCTTCATTTTTTGATGATATGGTGCCCTTTACTAGCCAAATGACATTAAGAGAAATAGCTTAGGTGCTAGGGAACAACCTTCCATCTTTTCTTGCTGAAATTAAGCAGCCACATATTGACTTTGAAAATATGAAAATAAGCTAAATACCGAACAATTTAAGCAGGATTTGATCTTGCTTTGGACATAAATTATAAGTACATTTAATGCACCTCACCTAATCCTACTTAGCAAGTTAACCCACTTGAGAAATGGATGCAAAGGCTCTTTCTATTATGGACTTTGTAACCATGTGGCCATGTTTTGGTTATTAGAGCATCTTCAACATAGTTTTCTATCCTATCATCCCTAGTTATTTTGGCAAAAAAAAAAAAAAAAAAAAAGGAAGAGGGCAACTCCAGTAGGATCGCTACCTCGCTT